AGGCCACCCAGGCACCCCGATTTAATCTTTCTTAAGTTAAATTTAAACGACCATGGGTGGCTAGTGGCTACCATATTGAACAGTGCATACCCTGAAAACACCTTTGCCCATAAATGCTATTTCTGGCTTAACCAGAGTCTCCACTGCCTCGCTAACTTTAATGGCACGTACAAGTTACCTGGAAGACAAATCTTGCCTGCGGCTCCCCACCTCCCCACTCTGGTTTCTGAAGGCGCCTGGCAGAGCCCTCTGCGCCCGCGATCAACAAGAGGCTGATGGAAACGCCTGAGGGAGGCATGGCCATGGGTGTGCACGCTGACCAGCACCAAACTAGGAGAACTGCCCTTCTGGGCTGGAATACTAATATTCCAGCAAAAATGATCAAAGCACAAACCACCATGGGGGGAGGAGGGGACACGGGTTGGTCTGAGTGGCGTTGGGGAGAATTCAAGGAGGAACTTTGGCAAAATTATGACAGTATTTAAAAACTTACTGCCCCCAGTTTAGGGACACTGGGAAATGACACTAGTCAGTCCTTCGGTCACAAGGAAGTATCTGCCAACAAATTAGCACAAAATTAACAACTATTACGTCGTGCTGTGAGAAAATGAATTGCTCAGAAGCAGATGAACATGTACTTTAAAACAATCTCATTTGTGAAATAACACTACGTCAACTATAAAAATGGGATAATTATGCATAAACCTCAAGATTTTACTATGAGTTTGACATTTCAGACTCTGAAACACATCCTGTGAAACTGCATGTTCAGGAACACCTGGGTGGCTCAGTGTTAAGCGTCTGCCTTCGGCTCAGGTCAGGATCCCAGGGTCCTGGGATCGAGCCCCGCATCGGGCTCCCTGCTCGGCGGGAAGCCTGCTTCTCCCTCTCCCACTCCCCCTGCTTGTGTTCCCTCTCTCGCTGTCTCTCTCTCTGTCAAATAAATAAATAAAATCTTAAAAAAACCCAACAACAACCCGCACGTTGGAATCTCCGCTTACTGCCTGTCGGTCCAGGTCCCGCACGGCACCTCTGGAGCTGAGCGCCCAAGCTCTTCTCTGCACGTCCTACCGCGTGGGTGCCACTGCCTCACCCGGTCATCTATGTCCTCACGCCCTCCCACCCGACACAGTGGCCACTGTGTTCCCGTGGAGCTGCCCCTCCTCGTCAGCGTGCCCTCTGATTCCAGCAGGCAGCTGCGGCACTGGCACCCCAACCGTGCCTTCTGCAGACCCTCGGGGGCCGTGCTCATCGCTGGGGTGGCGCCCACCTCCACCGTGTGGGGGTCTTTCGCGCTGGAGGGCCCTCCCTATGCGGTCATGTCCCAGCATGACCAAGGTTCCTGAAGCCTGCCTCCCGGAGGCCCAGGCATCACCCACGTGCTCGTCTTCTCGGCTGCCCTGCATGCTGCAGGACGGTCCTGGTGGTCACATGCAACTGTGTGGTCACTGGGTAAGAAACAGGCTCCTCGTTCATCTTCCAAAGTGTCTTGGTGCCTTGAATACAACAGAGGCTCAACAAACGCAGGCTGATTTTTGTTCTCATCTCCTTGCAAACTCTTGCTGGGCCCACAAACTTGGCAGGGTCACTAACCTGAACTGCTGCTCTCTACAGGCAGTCCTGAAATGTGCTGTTACCGTGCAAACGATCACGTGATAACGCAAACAGGCTCAAGTTTAAGACCACTGCTTTCTCTTCATTTTGAATCAAGAACACATCCCAAAATGAGACGTGTACGCGGATTTCTGAGTACTACTTATGGACACGCTTTTCTGTATCTTACGGACTGCTCAACAACGTACTGTCCGTACCTGTTCACGTCGACAAACACGCCCCACGATGTGACATGAGGTTGTACCCAATTACAGAAGACCCCTCTCCTGACACGCAGGTCGGTGGGGCGGACAGAGGCGGCGAGGTGCACGTGGAACGTGCTTGTACTGCAGGTGGCCTTTGCAGTGAGTGGAAAGGTGAGGGATTTGGTGACTTGCACCGTGTCCAGCTCTATGCTCGTCAAACCGAAGTAATTCCAAGTCGGGCAGGCCATGGTGGACAAAGAGGAAAACCATCGGCGAAACTGGTCACAAAGAGCCATCACAAAAGAGGTCGGCAGCCAGGAAGACATGAGGGGGGACCAGGACACCATGCAGCCTATAAAAAGTCACTCTGTATCAGGACACTTAAAACCCGTAAGCTAAGCAAAGAGATGTCATCTTTCCACCCGTCAGACTGACGAGTCAGGGGCTGGTGGCAGCCGGCGCCGGCGGGGGTATTTTCATACCTCCAGAGAGAGACAAAAACGGCCACAATCGTGTTAAGGGCTCACTTAGCAGTGCCTGAAATTTAAAAAGCATTTCTACAGTCAGGGATTCACCCCATGGCTCCACACACTGAAGTGAGTGCACGAGACCCAGGAGCAGGATTATAGAGCTAAGACCCGGGGGCGGCCTGCACGTCCACCGTAGACTGGGGTCAACCTTAGGGCTGGTAGCAGTCCCTCATCCAATAAGTACTCCCCAAGCACGAGCGTTGACGGGCACAGGGAAGAGCTCTTCCGGAGGCAAAAAGCCCGACATGCCACAGTAACGCGCCGGGCGTGGGCCTAGGAGCGTGATATTTCAATCTACACATGGAAATAGGTTGTTTTCCCTTGAGAATACACAAGAAATAAAATGCAGTATTCACATATCATGGGGTATGATTCAGCTTAAAAAACGACATTGTGACAGGTGACGCAGGCTGGTCCCGGAAGAACCAATACTCCACCTCCACGAGGTCCCGAGAGCAGCCAGGCCGACGGCCACGGACGGCGTGGGCGCCAGGGGCCCCCCGGCCAGTGGTTCATGGGGCAGAGTCTCACTCAGGAAGATGACAAGGCCCTGGGGGTGGAGGGTGGTGACGGCGGCATGTGATGCTCAGTGCTCAGTGCTGCTGAACGGTGTGCTCAGAAAGGGTTAAGGTGACAAGTTGTATATATGTTTATTTCACACGATAAAAACTGAAATAAATAAGAACTCCATAGGAATTGTGAAACAGGAACACACGAGTAGGGAGGCCTGCTTCCTCCTCATCCGCGCCTCTCCCCTGCACGTGGACGGTCTGCGTCATGCGCACGCACTGCTGTTAATCAAAGTCAAAGCAGATGAGCTGTTACAAGATCCTGCCAGGTTTTGAGCCAGGCCTTCTGAGGGGCGTCCCTACGCTGCCCTGCACAGGCGGCTCACACAGGCCTGGGGGGCCACACCCCAGCAGCTCCCGAGCCCCCATACATGCCGGAGCTCCACACCCGGGTGGGCAGGGCGGGGGGACGGGTGTGTCAGCACCTGTGAGTGGAGTGTGCACAGCACGGCCCACGAAGGCAGGCTAACCTGTCTCCAGAAGCTGCTTTAGGCTAAAATACTTTCCAGTTGAATCTCATTTATGACAATTGCCAATGTAATTAAAGGATTTTTGTTTCAAAGCAATTAAAGACATTATTACCATCTGCTACTACCATTATGTTTTTGTTGAAATAGCTTAAGAATTACAATCTCTCCACTAGATATGCAAGAAGATTGACTCAGTGATTTAAACAAGAAGCACCAACACTCATTTCTACGTACGTATGACAGATTCAGAACACGTGCTTGAAAACAAGAAAGGTGGGAGACGCCACCCGTGGATAAACAGGAAAAAAGCCCAAGTTGAAGCCTATCTTGTATTTACAGGGAGAGGATTCTGGTAGCTGTGAGGAGGCAACACAGCAGACTGGGGGAAACTGCGAATCAACGATGAATAATTCCGGCCGTGACCAAGTTTCCACTCAAACACGACGCTGTCAGGAAATACAGATATGACCACGTAACATAACCGGCTAAAACAGCTCCGTATGCAGATGTCCACGAGCTACACCGTCCACTCCACGTGCACACGGCCTCAGAACAATGCAGGCCACGCACACAGCCCACTCCGAGCCGCAACCATCCCAGGGGAGGCATGTCGGCCTCTGCTTCTCCCTGACCGAGCCCCAGACCGGCTCCTGACGGGAGACGGTGGGCTTGGCCGGCAGCAGGAGGTGGGAGCCCGGAACTCAGGGTGAGGTTTTCCTCGGGAAAGACAGACACCCAGCAGGTATGTGCAGCCAAAACCCGTTTCGAGTCACAGCCCTAGACTCTCAGAGACGTCCACGTGATCAAGAGCACAGGGCGCCTTCTCCGTCACTGGGGAAGGCCACTACAAGACAGGCTGGGGACAGTGGAGAAGCCCTGTCCCGAGCCCGGGGCAGGGGAGCAAACGTGCAGAGGGCTGGTCACGGAATTCAAGTACTGGTGTTGACATAGACCCAAGCCGTCAGTGCTCTGGCCAAGTGTGTCCCCAGGTGGATGTGCGTCCCTCCCGGGAAAGCCCCCAGTGGCCTCATGCGCTCTTGGGAGCAGAGGTTCCCGGCCCGGGGTTAAAGGTCCGAGTCTCTGAGACCGCACCCAGCACCTGCCTCGGGTGCTTTGATGGTTTTGACCACACTCTCCCGGGCCCCCTTGGGGCAGGAGACCCACACTCACCCGCTTCTACACGGAACGTGGATGTGGACTTTAACTTACCTCCACGCTGAAAGGATTTTCCTCAACTTTTCCGACTTCTGCTTCTGGCAGAGGATTTTTTAAGGTTTGCAAAAATAAAGCTGCTTTCCTTTTACGTTCTGCTTGAAGCTGTTTCTCCTTCGATTCCTTAGACGCCTGGGCCAGCTTCTCTCTGGCAGCAGCTGCAAGTCGGTCCTCCAGCTTTTGCTTTGCTTAAGGAATAAACAGAAGACAGCGATGTTTAGAACACGTGGTATTTTATAAACACCTTGCTATCTTAATTTTCACAGGCAGAAAAAGGGCCACGAAATACAGTGCAGTTGTTCTAAAAGATTAATGTGACCCAAATTTCAGGATAAACAAATCAGGCAAATTGAATTTTGAGAGAATTAGTTCAAAATGCGTATTATTAGTATTTCTAATATTTCACCTTCAGAATCAAAGTCAGAAGGTTGATGGGATTCCACAGCAGGGAGAGCTGGAATCATGGAAACCTGAGAATGGCACTCATCCCCGGCAAGGGATGCTGCATTACAAGGTTTACTCCAAACGATCCGACGCATTGCTCAGTTACGGCAGTCGGTGTGGATTCAGACTCACGTGCGGAGCTGAGGCTGCTGAGAGCAACTATGCACGAGGCCAGGTCTGAGTAACCCATCCTTCTACAAATGTTGCTTCATCCGTGCGTGCATATACAGAAAAGCAGCATACAAACCCGGGGAGAACACACAGAAGCTGCTAATGCAACTACTTTAGTGCAGAACACAGTGTGTTCTGGAGGAGGGGTGGGAGACTGGGGGGGTGCTGGTGGTGTTGGGGGCAGCCGGCGGCCTGGCCAGGACCCAACCTGGGCCTGCGTCACCTTGAAGGGTCTGAAGGCTCTGCAGGCAGACCGCCTCACAGAAGGGCATCTCCTTGTTTGGTACAGGACCCGAGCCGGGAACACAGGCTGAGCATTCGCCCCAAGGCGGTGGTCAGAGCGCAAAGGCCCCCCCGCCCCCCATGAAAGCACTGTGGGCAGACTCTAGAAACAAACAAGCTGCCGGGGGTCCTGCGTCTGATGCTTAGTGAAGAGCAGTGCCCGCATGCTCGACACCCCCACCGAAGCCCCTTGGTTCTGGTGTCCAAAGACTGGAGGTCCCAGTGGGCAGTCTGCACTGCGGGCTTAGTAGGTTAACCTTGTGTTCACGTACTTTTTCTCTCAAGAAGTTGAAAACATAATGACAAACCTTGCTTCGCTTCTAGCTCCTCCTGGGTAAGTTGAGGCCGCTTCTCCTCAACAACTACACAGGGTGGGGTAACTGCCGGGTTAGTGTTTGTAGCACTACTAGAACTTTCTTGGCCTTCTTTGCCTTCTTCATCATCATCACTGTCATCATCTAGCTTAACACGATTTTTTTCCAGGGGAAGTAGATCATTTTCTTTGGCCTTGATTGCAAAGCTTATTGGAGCAAATGAAGCTATTGAGAAAAGTGAAAATGGTGATACATTTTTAGGTACCTGGAAGCACAGAGCAGAAACCCTCACGGGCCCCACCATCCACATGAGCATCGGCTGGCGGGGCAGCGTCCCAAGTGGAGCCACATCTTACGCAGAGGGAGATCCTAGGGGCAGCGGCCTGCGCCTGTGTTGTCAGAGGGGGCTATTGAAACGCACGCTGCACGCAGGGAGGCTGGGCTGGCTCACGGGGGGGACCCCATGCACGCCTCACCAGGGACGCAGGCGCTAAGGGTGAGTCAGGGTTGCTGCGTTTGTAAAGGGTCAATTCTCCTTGGGGTTTTCCTTCTTTTTCTGGGCTCAGCATATGGCTGAATTTGCAAAGGTCAAACAGGCATATGATGCGACTCCACTATAAAAAGATATTTCTAAAAAATCCCAACCCTATAAAGTAGCCTCTTCTTACAAAGCGAAGGTTACTGGGCCCAGTCCCTCACTCAGCAAACATCGTAACAGGCACCTACTTCATGCGAGGCATCATGTCAGACCACTGCTGTCACAAAATCTTAGGTGGTTCCGTGTTCTCCCCAAGAATATTTGAGAATTTTAACTTAAGAGAAATACAAAGGCCCAAAAGGAAATAATCTTCTTCCCCGTACCCCCCCATCCACTCAGCATGCACTCAAGAGTCCGCTGCTCTCTTGGACACTAGGGTAAAGGTGGTTCTTAACGACACCTAATCGACTGTACTAAGGTACTTCCCTTTTAAAAACCATGAATTATCATTTAATGAAAGACATCCAAGTAAACCACAGCAAAGTGCAGTGCACACCAGCAAACTCTGAGAACGCAGGAAGGGCGTTCTGGGTAGGTATGCTGCTTTTGGATGTGCTCGACATTTTCCGTAAGAAAACCGGCAGGTTCCAGCAGAAGGGGCATGTCTGTCGGTGACCGCACACGGGGAGGGGTGGCCCAGCTGGCCCCTCAGGGTCCCACAATCAGCATTTTGCGGCTCCACGGCCACGCAAGCTGGAAGTACGTAAGTACCCCAGATCTCTGAAACATAACCACCTTTTGCCTACAATCACCTCGAGCCAGAGCACGGCCAGATGCTCAGTGCTGGGAAAAGCACAGTTGGTAAGTCAAGCGGAAAGTCAGCGTCACACCGCCTGCGCCCCCATGTACAACAGACCCTGCCCAGAGGCCACACAGGGGTCACAAACACGGTCTGTTAGTAGAGTCCACGGTAACCACTGTCCTGTGCGTGCGTTACACAGTCCATTGTCTGCAGGCACGCTACATCATCTATGGCTGAAATGCTACGATGTTGGGGACTGTGGGGCGGGCGGCAGGGGGAGCGGGGTGGTGTGCTCATCACAGCATGCTGCGTCTGTACACCCTGAAATTTTCTGAGAAGAACAAGTTTAATATTAACCCTTTACTGCCTATAGTAATATGATCTCTAACAAACACAGGCTCAACTGAACTTAAAAGGCAAAAAAATCACTTAAATGTTAATCAAAATTGCTCACAGACTTGGGGCTACAGTATTCTATCTTAAGATAACTTTAATGATTCTTAAACCATCTCTTCCTCCAAACAGAAAAACCAGCCATCAGCAAATGTCGTTTTTAAAATAAAAGCTTCCGGAACACTTTCTGTGCTAACACAACATTTGTAAGGACACTTGGCATTTACGCGTGTGAAACGAGGCCAAAGAGCACGGTTACTTGACGCAGACGCTAAAGCTAATTTAGTAATGGAAGGGAGCACCGTGACAGCCCGCGGGCCTCACCTCGCTAATGCGCAGCCTTGTCAGGGGTGATGCTGGCCTCCCTGCTCACAGACGGGGAACCGAGGCAGTCACTTCTCCAGCGAGCTGAGCCAGAGAGCGGAGGACGGGAAACCTGCCTTCGTGTGAGGGAACCTACCCCGGATCCCCTGCAGCAAGGATGCGCCCCGGCTCCGGCCCCGCCTCCATCTGCAGGGCCTCCGTCTGCAGGGCCCCGTCTGCTGGGCCCCGTCTGCTGGGCCCCGTCTGCTGGGCCTCCGTCGGCGCGGCCCGCCGCTGCCAGCCTCCCTTCCCCGGCCTCTGCCTCCCTTCCCCCGCTTCCGCCTCCTCCAGCCTCAGCTCACGGACGCTGGCCTGGCCTCTCTCCTCCACCCTCCACACCTCTGCGGGTTTCGTATCCTGTGTCCACAGCCTGCTCACCCTGGGCTGCAGGGCGTGGGGCCAACGCGGCTGGGAGCCAGGCCCGAGCAGCAGTCAGTGTGTGGGGAGGCGCCCACAGTGCCCAGGCCTCCATTTTCCGCAGCAGATGCGACTCCATGGATAAGGGAACAGGCTCGTTACCGTCAGCCTTCAGAAGTAACCACGTTCTCTATGGAAAACTCTGAAGCCGCCGGCGGACAAAACGGAAGACCAGCCGTAGTGTAGACGTGAGGAGGAGCCGCCCGCACACACGTGAACGGGGCCACGCCGGAGCATTAGGACCTGCTCCCGCAGCGCCGTGCCATGTTTCCGGGTCAGCAGAGATCATTTTTAAAAACCGGAGTATTCTCTCTTGTTCTGGACGCTCCAGTTTATTTCAGTTTCCCACGACCACCGCCGAGGGTTTACTTCTAAGAGCCTACGGGCCTGCGGTGAGCACCTGGCTGGGTCGCCGGGCCGGCCTGCAGGTGTCGGAGCGCGAGCTGTCCGCGGGGAGGCTGGTCTTCTAGGGGCCGTGCCCTTGCACGCCTGCAAAGACAGCTCGCGTCCCCGCGGCCCGGAGCCCCTCCCTCACTGAGCGCTGTGTTTAACTTGACTGATTTGGGAGGCAAAAAACAGCATTTTGTTAATGAAGATACACTTTAAAAATTTATTTACTGACCAGCTACTTGTCTTCTTTTGTGAGTGATCTGCCCATGTCCTCGGCCCACTACCCTCTGCCGCACTGTCTTTTCTCAGCGGGCGCTGAGCTCTTCCCACAGTGCGCACAACTCCGCTTCTCCTCCTGCCGTGTGAGCCGTCTGTCACTGAACTTCGTTCAGGGCCTGTTCCCGTCAGACCTCCTAATCTTTCCTTAGGATTTAGGGCTTCGATTTTTAGAAAGTCTATTCCAACTCTTAGATCATAAAGAAGAAATTACCTTTACTTTCTTCCATCTTCATGGTTCTTTTTTAAAAAAAGATTTTATTTTAAAGAGAGAGTGTATGTGTGCAGGAGCTGAGGCGGCGGGACAAGCAGGCTGTGACCTCAGCGCGGAGCCCGACGCAGGGCCGGATCCCAGGACCCCGAGATCACGACTGGAGCTGAAATCGAGTTGGCGATGCGCCAAGCAGGTGCTGCTTTATGATTTTTTTTTTTTCATTTAAATATATAATCTGCCTGGAACTATTGTTGTCAGACGTGAGGCTGAAGTCGTATTCATTTGTTCTCCGTAACGGGGGGCCGGGCTTGCCGACGTGAGTTACTTTCGCACTGAAGAAGCTTCGCCGTCCACACTGCACGACACGCCGGTGCCTGCTGGGGACCTGCTGCCAGGCCCCGGGCCGCCCCGCACTCCCACAGGCCTTGGGTGGCGCAGGCTCCTCTTTCCTGTGGGAGCAAACCTGACCCAACGCAGTACTTCCAGTGGTCTGGACTTGACCGAACCCGTGCGCGTCCCCTAAGTTCTTCCAGACCTATACGTCCGTCACGTCCATCACACTACCTCTTCTTGACACGACAGTGGCAACTTATACTTTCCCAATTTTTTCAGTTATTTTCAAATTCATTCAAATTTAGGGTTATATGTATTATTCCTGCGCACTCTGAAAATCTGATTTTCTTCACCCACTGTATGCTGTGTATCCTATCCGCCTGCACAACAATATGCTTCACTGGCCTTTTCCTACATCCTCGCTGGTTCCGGCTCTGACATGTACTGTTCCCCCTCTCCTGCGTTCCTCAGATGCGTTTTATGCTTTCTAGGTTCTTGTTCTTCTTCTTTTTAATATTTTATTTGTCACAGCGAGAGAGGGAACACAAGCAGGGAGAACAGTAGAGAGCGGGAGAAGCAGGCTCCCCGCGGAGCAGGGAGCCCGACGTGGGGCTCGATCCCAGGACCCTGAGATCATGACCTGAGCTGGAGGCAGACGCTTAGCTGACTAGGCCACCCAGGCGCTCCAACGTTCTAGGTTCTTGAGCCGAATGCTTGTCACAGGTTTTCTTTACCAACATTGAGCATACAAAAGCTATGTAAATTTTTGTTTGACAATTTTGCTGCATTTGACAATTTTTTGACAAGAAATATTCCCATTGGGGGTGCCTGGCCGGCTCAGTCAGCGGAGCGAGCGACTCTTGATCTCAGGGTTGTGAGTTTAAGCCGCATGTTGGGTGTAAAGATTACTTAAAAATGGTATCTTAAAAAAAAAGAAAAAGATTTCTTTGACTCATTATTTTGGAGTGTTGACGCGTCTGAAAGTGTCTTTGTGCCGAGGAACATCCAGAATACTTTTCATTCAGAATTCCAGACACACCTTAATTACCTGGCATTTATTGCTGCAGATGTGGGTCTGACGTGTCAATCTGCCTTTCCTCCGCCCGGGGCACAACCTGCCCGTTTTTCTCTCTGGATGCTTTCCTGCACCTCCACCTCCTCCCTTGGAGACCTGAAAACAATCTGCAGCCCATCTTTGCACCCGGGGTGATTTTCAGGCTTTCAGTGTATTTCACCGCCTGGAGCTTGTTCCTAGGCAACCCCTGCAGATGTGTGCTGAGCAGCGGCACCACGTGCTGCGCTCAGTCACAATGCCTCCCTGGCACCCAGGCACTCTGGGCTCCACACCGGACTGTCACAGGCGCGGGCCGGGCTCTGTGAGACGGCTCTGAGCGCAGCGGGAGAGGGGTGGGCCGTGTGGTCCCAGCTGCCCCACTGCCCGACGATCGTGGCAAGCCACCTGCTGCCCCCGGCTGCTCTGGCCTCCCACCCGCCTGCTCTCTGGTTGGCAGAGGCTGCCATGGCCTGGGGGTCACTGCCACCGAGCCCCAAAGTGTCCCTCTCTTCTCTATGAACTAAATTCCAGGCGGGCTGGCCTGTCCTTCTGAAACACAGATAGTAAATACCTCCCCCCACTTCTGCAGCAACAACTGATTTTATTCTCCACTTATTATGTTCCTTTGTCATTTTGATGAGAGTATGCAGGTGGCTGGGAAGGGTGAGAGATTCAGCAGGTGTGCTTAGGTAACTCCTGGAATGAGAGGCTCGACTGAGTTTCCCCGGTCAGTCACCCATCTGCGCCGGGCTGGTTACTCCAGATCACCACCCTATTCAACAAGGCAGCTCGATGCAAAGCACCTCTGCCCCAGCAGCTCGCCCTCCCCCGACTCTCTGCAGCTCTGTGTCCGGCACCAGCCCCACCAACAGCTCCAGGTGACTCTCTGCTGGGTGTCCTCACAGTCACCACCTGGATGCAGTCATTTCTCTGATCTGGCACCTGCGACGACCAAAGTCCCAGGGCCCCACGAGCTGATTGTGGCTGCTCTGCAGGCCGCGCCCCCCAGGACCCAGCCACCACTCTGACCACGCCTCCTGTGTGCACCTGCATGCAGCTCTGGCCATGCGGCCTCTGCCTGGGACTGCGGCCCTGTGTGGGGTGCCTGGTACTCCACCAAGTCCCTCTCGTCCCTGCCACGTGGGACTCACTGCAGCTTCCTACGTCTCACCCACACTGACCTGTGCCAGCCCCCCGCCCCGCCCTTTTTAGTATATCGATGCTTTCTGTGTAGGCCTGCCTGAACAGAAGAAAGTCGTTCTAAGAACATAAATGGTGACAAGGTGCAAGGAGTGGAAGAATGCCCGGGAGAGGGCCTCAGGACACACAGACAACTAATCTCACTGGTGCCAGAGTCCGTACGCGAGCGTGGCTGCCGGAGTCCAAGGAGGAACCAAACACCTGGGACACGTGCTGAACATTTCCGTTAAACTTGCTAGAACAGACCACGAGACAAAGCTGTACCTCAGATGAGCTCCTATCCCAATGGCCCCACACTCCAAATGAGGAAAGACTGCGAGGCAAGGGAGCTTTAGGACAGCAACCTCCCGGAGGTGACGACCCCCCACACCCCCGACCTGACCTGACGTCTGCGAGGGAGGGACTGGCAGCGGCCTACCTTTGACCAGCTTCCCGTCTGCCACAGTCTTACTGGATGACGCCTCCTTCTTCCCCGTGGGGCCGCCTCTCGCTGCGTCGGCCGAGTCTTCACACACACCCTCCTCCCCACCGTCACTCGGCTTTTCGGGAGCAGATTCTGCAGGAGCCTCTTCTGGTGCTGACACAGCCTAGAGATTGAACGTGACGGTCAACGGCGCCATCAGAGCCACCCAGGGTTTGTCACAGACAGACAGACAGACTTGCCACCTCCTGACACAACACAGCAGAGGGGGAGCGCAAGGAGGTTCTCCCTCTGGAAGGACAGAACGCCTCTAAAAGCTGTAATGCCGTCTCGGGGGCCGACGCATACCGCCTTTTCTTTGGACACAGATGCCTGAGAACCCTTCCAAAATATCAGATCATGCCCGTCGGCTGCACATGAGTCATTTTTATCAGTCTGAGCAATTACAGACACAAGTCTGAAGAACGCCACTGATAAGAAGCAAGGCCTACATCATCTACAAAATAGGTTTGAACCGAACAGGCACCCACGTAACCGGGGGAGCGCTGCAGGAGAAGCGTTACAAGGACAGGAGGAGCGGCATCCAGCAGGTGTGCGAGTCCCACAGCGGGACGCTGCACGGCGGCCAGCCGCCCCCAGGATAAAGGCCCCACCACGGGCAGCACTGGCCATGAGCACCACGCTCTCACTCTACATACGGACAGGTATGTTAGTGCAAAAGAAACAGGGAACAGGGCCTCCACCAAAAGCTGTTAAAAACAACAGCCAACCAAAACATCAAAGGCTTCAAGAGACAGGATTCTCTGTTGAGAACATGCTGATCATCAGTGAAGTATGCACAGGGGTCAAAGTCTTCCAAGGATCCCAAACACAGGTTTCCACTCTGAAAGGTGCAGGCCCTCGCAGACAGAGCACAGCCAGGAGCCCTCTGCTGCGTCCTGGGAGTAAGTACCAAGTATTCCTGCACCTGTGCCCCAGCCAACACAGAGGCTCCGGGCCTCCCCGGCCCCCCAGTACCTGTGCCCTGTCGCCCCCTTCCTTCTGGAGGAAGAACTGCTTCTTGAACTCGTAGTAGGCGTTATACTGGTGCCAGGGCTGCAGGAACTCGAACCTAGGAGCAGAGACGAGGACGGGTCAGCTACGCGGACACACGGGGCTCCTACAGACGGCTCGCTGCGAGCAGCCGCTGTCCCACATGCTCTCCAACGACCACTTGAGCCAGTTACCCCGAGAGCCGTGTGTGGTCACAGAATCACATGCAAGCGCAACCTCTTGCTGGCTGGCTCACACCCGAGGCATGGAACATTATTTGATTAAATGGCAGACTCTTTCCCCTGGTTCTTTGTCCTGTGTTTCTTTATAAACACGTATCTTTTTTTTAAACTTGTGTTTTTCTACCTGGCATATATATTTTTCCAGTTTTTATTTTCACTTCATTTGGTTAACAAACAGTCTGATACTCGTTTCAGGTGCGCGGTGTACTGACTGAGCCCCTCCATACACCCCCCGGTGCTCCCCAGGACAGGTGCCCTCCTTCATCCTCATCCCCACCCCCTAAATGGCAGATTCTTGAAAAGCAGCAACTCCAGCCCTGTTTTAGGTAAGCTTCAGCATTCTTAAAAACAAAACAAACAAAAAACCCACCACACAACTGTAAGTAATTCAGCAAGCTGATTATAAGACGTATTTACGTAAACACACGAGGATTAAAAACGTTAAAGAAAGGAATTAGGTAGCTAGACTAAAACCAAGCTAAGTGAAATGCCCCACACACCCGTATCCATCCCCCCCGTTCCATTCCTCACCTCTGGTCGTTCTTGGCACGGACGCTAGTCTCAAACTTGAGGCCGTTGCGAGCCACGTATTCTGCCAGCTTGTCGATCACAGGCTGAATGTCGGGGGGCGGGGGGATGATGGCCGCCACGGGAGCAAGTGCACTGCAGAGGAGAGCTCCGTCACGCTCCCAGTGCAGGGGCCCCCGAAACCACCAGCTGGTGGACCAGCGCGGCGCGCTGTGGGGGGCTCTGAGCGTCCTGGGCCACACCCACACGCAGTGAGACACACACACACACACACACACACACACACACACGGAGACTATCTGAGCACACCTTCAACCACAAACAATTAATCCAAGTCCGCTCCTTGAAAATGGACTAAAATATCCTTGCCAATGGTAAAAATGGGGTTTTATGGAAAATAAGACTTAAAACCATGAAAACAGGTTTATTTTTTCCCCTAACGTTTCCCTCCAGTGATAAGCCAATTCTTAGAAGCAACCAAGAATAAGTCATGCGTTGATTCTTTTTCACGTTAAAACAGAGGACGTGCACTTCAACATCCTCGTTTCGTGCCCCCTTTCTCAGCACGGTCAGAAAGAAGGTCATTTTGCAGAAACACCCAAGTGTTCTGTCAAATTTCAACTGCAGGCACCCAGCGCTCCTGACAAAGCGCCCACAGAGCACTCGCCCACTCTGCAGACCCCAGATGTTGGTGTAAGACAGGTGTTGGGGCCCAATCCCTGCCCCACTGTCACTTTTGTTCAATGCTCAGCTGGTCTGGCAGCCAGCCCCCATTTGCCTACAGCTTCTGGGAGTCACTTCCATCAACTTCATAAAATCCTGCATTTCTTGGAAATAACTGCAGCTTCACTTCCCCCTGACTTTACGAAGAACTGCCCAACTGAGATGTCAGAACATCAGAAAGCCCAGATGTGGGGGGTCAGGGTGGTGTGGGTGCTAAGGATGCAGGGGTTATGGGGGAGTGGGGTGCTGTGGATGCAGGGGTTATGGAGTAGTGGGGTGCTGAGGATGCAGGGGTTATGGGGCACTGAGGATGCAAGGTTTATGGGGGAGTGGGGCGCTGAGGATGTGGGGATTATGGGGAGTGGGGCACTGAGGATGCGGGGGTTATGGGGGAGTGGGGTGCTGAGGATGCGGGGGTTATGGGGAGTGGGGCACTGAGGATGCGGGGGTTATGGGGGAGTGGGGCACTGAGGATGCAGGGGTTAGGAGGGAGTGGGGTGCTGAGGATGCAGGAGCTGGAAATGATGTGGGGTGCTGACTGGGAATCAATTTTCTAAGTGTTCACGTCATGACGATTTGCGCTATCAGCCCGTAACTTGGGTATTTGGACACTTAAACCCTCAGGCGACAGAGACCCTGCTCGAGAGCCAGACCAAAGACCCCAGCCCGAGAGCAAAGAAGTGCCTGCCGACGGGCAGAAGTGGGCGTACCTTGTGGTGAGGGTGGCGGTCACCCCGCTACTGGTCTCTGCTGTGGTTGGGGGGGGTGGGGGCGTGGTCCCGGGGGGTGGCGGGGCGGCGGTGGCCCCCCCAGCAGGCAGGGTGCTGTAGTAGGCGGCCACGTCGACCCCCGGCGGGGGCGGCGCCAGACAGTAGGTGCCGTCGGGCAGCATGTAGTAGCTGTAGTACACGGCGGCCACGGTCGCTGCGGAAAGACACGTGCAGCGTCAACTCCATCGGCGACCACACCGTTTCTAGAGGTTTCTGATTCGAGGAAGGCTGCCCATGGGACAGCTGATCTGGAGGAAGCGGGCAATGTGGGGACACACACCCGGGGACAATGGACCGCGAAGGGGCAGCAAACACACCGATGAGAAGTCCGCTCTCAATGAGCGTGCACGGCTGAGCGCTGGCGTCCTTCCCTCGCGTGACATGCATCTACAAAGCCGTTTGCTGTAACCGCCACCCCCCCACCCCCCGGACGCACAGCCGCGTGCCTACCACATCCCCATGGACGCAGCTCTGCTGTCACGGACAGCGACTCACGACAGCCTCCTACACAGTCCGGCACACATGCAAGTGCCCGCAGGGCAGCAGCCCACCGTTCCAGTAAATAAAAGTCCTATACGCTCATTCATTCTTCTTATTTTTTTGGAAAAATACTTAAAACCAGCTAAATCGTGTAAGATTCAATGATCCAATTAAGAATTTTATTTCTAATCCTGCTGTGGATATGCAAATGGTTCCGACTGCGTTGAGATTTAATTTCCTTTTCATTGGAGAACGGTGAAAAGATCTTTCCAGTTAAAGAGCTTTATTTTGAGGGCACCTGGGTGGCTCAGCGGGTGAGGCGCCTGCCTTCGGCTCAGGTCATGATCCCAGGGTCCTGGGATGGAGCCCCGCATCGGGCTCCCTGCTCATCGGGAAGCCTGCTTCTCCCCTGCCTGCCGTTTCCCCTGCTTGTGCTCTCTTAGACTCTCTCTCCCTCTCAAATTAAAAAAAACTTAAAAAAATTTTTTTTTATTTTGATTTTCAATTAATTCACTTTTAACAAGAACATATATGAAGAGCGGGTGCTTCACCGTAACCCTGGTTCCCAGTGACGTGCTATGCAGGGAAACGCAGCGGGACAGCAACTTGCACAGCTAGGCCCCAGCCCTTCCCGAGGCTGGAACGAAGCACAGATGACTGGCTGCAGGCCCACCCACAGCTGCTAACGGCTCACTCTTTGTTCACCGAGAGTGTGAGCTCCCAGCTTGTCCTCTCTTGATGTCATGCACTGACCGCAGTTACACATTCACAACAACACCCTGAGCTTTCATAGACACTGGCCCCAGATCCTGGTGGCATGATCCCTGCCCAGCGTTCTCAATCACATCTCTGCAGGAAGGCGGGGCCCATCCAAGACCGCCGGCTGGAGGCAGGGGCAAGCAGGGATGGCAGGAAAGGCACGTTCACTTTGTAACCCAGCACGGAGCACACAGTGTTCATCAGACAGACGGACAGATGCGGCGGTTCCAATGGAAGCTTTTCCTAACCAAGCCAGGCGATTGCACACAAACCTAAGCCTCTGTCAAATCCAACGCCATCCTTGCGAGAATGGAATTACAGTTCCCACCCACTCACCTTCAGGTGGTCAGGCTACCGGGGTCCCTCTTCTCAGCCCCCAGGCAGAACCACCCCACGGAGAAGGAGACAATGTGGCATCAGCGAGAACAGAACATAACCCTGACCTGCCTCGGAGAACACCCGTGTGTAGCCCAGGGTCTCCAGGAGAGGGGACAGGACACATTTACTGTCTCGTCCAGAGTGTCACATCTCAGTGGAAGGACAGACACCCGCTCCTGTCCTAGACAGTCAGCCTCCTGCCTGAAAACAAGCCAAAGTACATTTTAAATCATAGCCACGACCAGTGAGCCACGTGAACTCATAAAAATAGAAACAGTTGGGGCGCCTGGGTGGCTCAGTTGGTTAAGCGACTGCCTTCGGCTCAGGTCATGATCCTGGAGTCCCGGGATCGAGTCCAGCATCGGGCTCTCTGCTCGGCGGGGAGTCTGCTTCTCCCTCTCCCGCTCCCCCCTCTTGTGCTCTTTCTCTCTCTCACTCTCTCAAATAAATAAATAAAATCTTTAAAAAAAAAAAAAAACTTTAATAAAAATAGAAACAGTTCACAAGTTTGGACCAACAGCGTAGGTCGGGCAATCGCAGTGTAACGCAGCCTTCGTGCAACAGAAGTCAATAAATGGTTTTCAGAACTGAGCACCATCCCTTTGAAGTACTTGTATGCAGATTAACCATCAGTCCACAGGACTTTCCTGAACTGTCCATCATGTTAAATCGAAAGTGTTAAAAACTGCGCTCCTGGCACGCTGGCAGATTAACTCGGGAATCCACCCTCAGGACACGTGAAGACACTGGCTAAGGTAAAGCAGAAACTCTCAGACCACAGCAGAGCTCACAAAAAGAGGCGGCTCTGTCTTCAGGTGGGAAAATGAGAGCCCGCCCAAACCTGAACGCGCCCTCAGCCTGGGCTGCCCCGGGACCGCAGCAGGGGGTCAAGCTGGGGCAGAGGCGCTGAGCCGGCGTCCCCAACAGACGTGTGCAGGCGGTCCGCTCTACCCTCTCGACATACACGTGGTGAGCCTTCCAGCAGAGTCTTCACCACACTTTGCAAACGTGCACAGGAATTTGACAAACTCCATTTATCTAAAAATAATGCTGACAGCCACCCAACATCGCTGTCTAGTGAGGTGTGGGGTGGCTCGCTGGCTGGCAGGCCTCCCACTGTGGGATGCAGGCGTCACGGCAGGTTTAACAAGGCCCCTTTCAGCTGGAGCCTCACTTTGAGGACTGCCAGGGATGAAAAGCCTTCAGGGAGAGGATCCCCAACTCTGGAGCCCGGGGTATGACAGTGGCGGTGAACGGCAGCCCGACCCCCACGCCTTGCCTGTCGCACCACCTCTGGGTCCCACTCCCGAGAAGAGCGCCTCACTCCCTCACTTCTGACGCCGGCACATCCTGCGTCAGGATGTGTCCTCCGTGTGACGCGCCCCCCAGCTCCCAAAGTCTGACCGCCGGTACCTCCCCCATCCCAGGTCGACTCGAGGGGGCCCTGCTTGCCCGCAGCACCGCCAGGTCTGAGGGCTCCACGTCCGAAGAGCAGCGGCGGGCAGCCCCCACAGCCCCCAGCGGATGGCAGGCACCTGCCCAGCATTTAATGAGTGAAGCCAGCGACACCAGCCAACAGCAAGGCCGGGAGGCTTTCCTGACACCTCGTGCTAAGGTACGCGGGCACACGGACTCCCCCTTTTATCTCTGAAGCCGTGAGCTCGACGTCACAGACCCTTTAAAACGGCCGTCAGAGTGCACACTTTTTTTGTATACATCCCCCCTGCCCCAACTCAGAGATTCTCACGAACACCAAGTTTTGAGACTCCCTGGACCAGACCGCAGACAGGACATACAGGTGTCTGGTGCTCCAAGACCGAGCTCCCTTAAGCTCACCGTCACGTTGTCATGATGGGGTGCAGCGTCCCAGAGGGCTCCTACCGCTTTCTCTACCACTGGACGTCCGCAACATAACACACCTCAGTAGCCTTGCTGTCCTCCACATTTTAGGTTGAATGTCTGAGAGGCGAGTGGGTTTCACAGGACATTGAATGTCGATGGCATTATTAGCATCATGAGCACCACCAATCCTACTCCAGATGAATCCAAGAAAGACGTCTCAACGGCACCTACGTTTCCTAAAGGCAGACGTAGCTGTTATGAAAAGAATCCAGCTACTTCAGAGCGTAAGGCACATTCAGGAGCACTTCTTTCCCAGACTGCAGCTGCTTAGAGATGGACAGAACCACGTAACACGGGGGCAGATCAACACCCCTGATTTCCTTCCAAAGCCCTTCTATTCAACTGCCTTCCTGCAAAAATCAGAGCCAATTTACTGATATCTCATGTGGTCCTAATCTCATATAAACTTAACTCCCGGAAGAGAATCCTGGTGTCAAAAGGGTTCTTGGAGATGAGGGGGCTGGTGAGCAATCCCTTCTGTGTAAGCAGCAGTTCGGGGAAGACAACATGGCTCTGTATTGAGAATGAAAATGCCTTTACTGAGTGCTGTGGAACCAATCTATTTTACCCATACAAGACATCTGGACGATGGAGTACGACCAGTGGAGCGGCTGTAAGCGGCAGCCATGACACCGCCCCTGGGCCTGCACTGCACCGTGCCCGCCCCGCCCTGTCCAAGCCCAGGTGAGCAGCTTGGCCTCCCCTGGACCTGCAGACGGTCCTCCCCATGCACCCCAGGGACCTTCCTAGCAAGTTTAATGGCTTTAAATCCTCTTTGTGCTTGATGATTCCAGAATTCCTACCTTCAGCTCTGAGCTGAACTTGCACATTAACCGCCCACTCCACACCCCCACTGGGATGTCTCAATTCACTCGGGTTGAGTCCAGATCAGGATCCCTGCCTCCTCCCTACATACCTGCTCTCTCAGGGAGCGGCCATGCCGTGCCTGCGGGTGGGTCAGCTGCACTGCACGCTTCCTCCCAGACCCCTGCTCTAAAGCTCCAGAAGCACTGCCTGGACCAAACAGAATAGCAACCCCCCTGCCCCCGGAAACCCTCCTATCTCTTCCCACCCAGGGCTCAGGCCATGTTCCCTGCCCTCTTTCCCACCACTCCCCGGTTCCGCTCTCCTCGGGCCTCTGGCTTGGAGGGCCTCCCCAACGATGTCCACCGGCACGGTGACTTCCTCTCGGGCTCTCAGTTCCATGATTTTCCATGACAGAAGGAACCTTGTTCGCTGCTATTCCCAGCACAGTGTGAGCACAATGCCAATCTGCTCAGTGACTACAAGCTACACGCACGAGGATGAGAGGTGCAATGGCGGTAGGCTTCTCTGCAGCAGTAAGGGCCACTAGAAAAGGGTGGCCCAGAACTTCCAACGCCCGAGGGGCAGTATTCAACGCACAATTCTAGGCCTGTCCAAACCACTTACCATATGCGAAAGCAGAATCAGGGCACCCTAAAACGTGTGTGCTCCTGCGTACCCCACCGGAGCGCGTGCTAAACCAAGTACAGAAGTAACCATCACACACACCAGAGGAAGCTCAGGCAGTAACCCAGGGCATCGGCGAGAGCCTGGAAAACACTGGGCTGCAGGCTGAGAGCGCAGCCACTTCACGCGGGTTCAGGGGCGAAG